GAATGCGGTTTGTAATTCGGAATGAGACATATTAGATGACATATTATATCTAGAGTGACGTACCTGTTTCTTTTTCTTTTTCTGATTTGCGGAGAGACATAGATTCACGGACTCTTCTTCATCACTAGAGCTTTCATTAGAGGAGGAAGAATCACTGTCGCTTTCCCATGCGATGTACGCCCTTCTAGGCTTTGATGCTCTCTTATGTGACTTCGATTGTTCCTTTTCTTTTCCCTTGTTGTTCATTGGACAGTCCGGTTTGTAGTGACCGGGCTTTCCACATTTATAGCACGTTCCTCTAGTCTTTTTGCCTTTTTGATTGTCATCTTTGGAGAACCTTGATTGCCTTCGGAAATTTACCAGGTTCTTCTCCGAATGTTGGATGCCGTTCTTTCTCACGTACCGGTTATACCGTTTAACGAACAGCCCCATGTCCTCATTTATGTCTTCTTCTTCGTCGTCGCTTGAAGAATAATCACTTTGCTCTTTTGCTTTAGACTTCGAGGAAGAAGCCTTAAGAGCTATTGACTTCTTTTCACTCATCTTTACTTTGTCCTTCTTTTCTTTCCTTTCATGTTGGTCAAGACTCAAGAGTACCTGTTCATGCTCTTGTAGTTTGCCAAACAATGTAGTCAGGTCTAATACCGTAAGATCATTTGCCTCTTTGATGGCGGTCACTTTCGGCTGCCATTCCCTGCTAAGACATCTCAAAACTTTATTAGTAGCAAGATCATTGGAAATAGGTCTTCCTAGTGAATGTAATCTGTTTATGAGATGAGTAAATCTCTTTTGCATGTCAGCAATGGTTTCCCCTTGCTCCATGAAAAAGAGATCAAACTCTTGTATAAGAGTGTTGATTCGAGCCAACTTAACATCGTTTGTCCCCTCATGGGCAATTTGTAGTGCATCCCACATAGTCTTAGCCGTAGGGCAATGGGATACACGGTAGTATTCATCTACACCTAATGAGGAGATTAGAATGTTCTTAGCTTTCCAATCGTAATTATACTTTCGCTCATCGTCGTCGGTCCATTGTGCTTCGGGCTTTGGCACAACTTCGTTATTCTCATTTGTCATGGTTATTTCAATCGGACCATTGAGAATAACGTTCCATATCTTTCTATCTATGGAATTAATGTGCACCCGCATACAGTCTTTCCAATAGCTATAATTTTCACCGTTAAAAACGGGAGCTCTATTGTACGCCCCTTTTGGTTCGTTAGCCATTATTCTATCAATGTTGTATTTGAAGCACCGGAGAACCAGGCTCTGATACCACTTGTTAGACTAAGGCACGGATCTAGAAGGGGGGGTTGAATAGATCCCTTTTAAAAATTTGAGTGGCGCTACCAATAAAATTGGTTTTCAAAATTGTTTTCAAATGCGGAAGCGGCCTTGGAAAATATAGTCTAAAACGAACAACTATTGGAGAGCCGGATATGCGTCAAGCAGATGAATTTAAGACGATAACGGATAGTAAATCACTACACACTTTTATGCAAAACTCAGATGTGATTCACTCGTACTATTTCCTTATTCCAATGATCAAAAATTACACCAAAACTAGCAGCAAAATTAAGGCAATTTTAGTTCAGCACTTTTGTCGAACAGTTGGTGTGCACAAATACCTTAAATGATATTTGTGTTGAATGAGTGATTGAAAAAGCCTTAGTACAGTATTTCTATTGTACTTAGTAGTTAAAAAACAGTGTTTCACCAACTCACTCAATCAATACTACAATTTGACAAAATCACTTATTCTAGAATCACTTAATTTTTAAGCTGTAATTGAAAATGCAGAAAATAAAGGAACACAAGATTTGATGAGGCAGTTCCCCCAGTCGTCCTCGCGTTGGGGTACGTCTGCCCTCAATTCTACAATGAGAATTGAGATATGTATTGAATAGATATCACCTGTTTGGTAGAACAGTTATACACAAGAATCGATAGACAATTGATACAAACAATCTTAATGTTGCTGATAATTTCTACCACTTCTTGCCCCTTGATTCAAGATGAATCAAGTCCTCCAATTTGATGTGAATGACCTCCGATTGCAGCCACCTTATTGACAACTCTTCCGTTGATCAAACCTTCGGCACGGCTGATCTTAGACACACCCAAATTGAACCCGGAACGTCTTCAACCTTTCAACGCCCTAGCTACTAGATTGATCAACCTTCCGCTAATCAATCACCTTCGCACTCGCTTGATTGTTGAACCGACGATTCCGTAACAAAAGCCTTCAAAACCTGTAGTCTTGATAGGTAAAACCTCAAAGGTTTTCTCCCAAGAAACACCTGCACCAGCTTCCACTCGAACCGGATCTTCAATCACGCGTTCGAACCTTATCACCGTCGAGCAAACCACAAACCGCAGCAAAAAAATTGATTATCTGTAATTTGAGGATCTGTGAGTTGATTGAACGATGAAGATGAAGAACACTGATGCACCTCTTTCACGTTTCTTGACCTGAACACTTTCTCACAATGCTTTCAAAAATGTTCTGTTGTTAAAATTGAAAAGACAGCTATTTATAGTAATATACAAAACAGACAGTTGACAGATCAATGAAACATAGCAGAATTTCTGTTTCTGCGCGCGAACGGTCGACCATAGGGTCGGCGTGCGCTGAGCCGTGTGACACTCAAACTGTCATGCGCCGAGTCAGCGGTCGACGCATGATCTTCATGCGCTGAGCCGTCTGATTCTTAAACCTGCATGCGCCAAGTTAACGGTCGACGCATGACCTTCATGCGCTGAGCCGTGTGAACTGAATGAAACTGTGTGCTGACGGTATGGTCGGCTCATGGTTCAAAAATCTGCAAAAACATAAATTTCTACAGCTTTTTGTGCATTACGTCATTGTAAAAATTGAATCATAAGTAGCGTGAATGATTTAAACGAAAGAAGGATATCTCTTAGCAAGTTGTCATCATCAAAAACCAGAGGCACGCTTGTGTTGGTAGATACTTTGCCTTCACAAGTTTCACTCCTAAGGAAGCACTTTATGAAGCCTCCCGGAATTTGATTGATTTATTTATTCCTTTTTTACATGCAGAAGAAGAAAACTTCAATTTGGAAAACAATCAACACAAAATGACTTGGCCCCTTTTTACTTTTCATGATCATGATAGATTCGTTAAGGATAAACTAACGAACACTCAAAAAGAAATTACATTGAAATCCATTTTTATTGACCAATTAGAATTGCCTCCCCGGATCTATAATTGTCTTAAAAAGTCCAATATACATACAATATTTGAATTTTTGAATAAGAGTCAAGAAGACCTTATGAAAATTGAACATTTTCGCGTAGAGGATTTAAAAAATATATTAAACATTTTACAAATCGAAAATCATTTTGTATAAATTGAAAATCCATTGGAATTTTTTGAATCTTTCATTTTTTTTATTTATAAAAAGAAAGCTTCAAATGTTAAATTTGAATCTTTAGCACAAATAAATATATTCAGAATAGGTATAAAATGAAATAGATGGATCTAGGGATTAGTCATTTCAAAGTGAATTTTCCCTAGATACACAATACACCTGTCATGATATTTTATTTGACAATAGAATCAATTTAAAAAATCCCTAACGTTAGGGATTTTTCAATAGGTAATGTTGCTCAAATACCCAACCAAAGAGCCACGACAGTACCAATCAAAAAGACGGTTGTTGCTACTGGATGCCGAAATGGGTTTTGGAACTTATTAACATTTTCCAAAAAAGGTACTGTTACTAATCCCGCGGGTACTGAAACCATTAAAAGAACGCCCAATAATTTATTGGGTACGGTACGAAGTATTTGAAATACGGGAAAAAAATACCATTCGGGCAATATTTCCAAAGGAGTTGCAAACGGATCTGCGGGTTCCCCAATCATTGATGGTTCGAGAACCGCTAAGCCTATGTTACAGGCAATAGTGCCCAGAATAACTACTGGAAAAATATATAAAAGATCGTTAGGCAATGCTGGTTCGCCATAATAATTATGACCCATCCCTTTGGCCAATTTCGCTCTTAATACAGGATCCGTCAAATCAGGTTTTTTTGTTATTGGGATAGGTGAATTCTTATAGATCCATCCTCCGAAAGAATCGGACATGATAATTTTGCATCATCTGGCTCGAGCACGAATCAAACAAACTGAATGCAGACATAGAAATTCTTTATATGTTAGTCACTCATATATCATGATTCTATGTAATAATATGTAATAAAATGGATTTAATTGTTTTTTTTTCTTCGAAATTACAACTATCCATTGTAAATGCAAAAAATTCAGTTCTTATTTTTAAGTAAATGCTTTTCACCCAAGTAAGTTTTCAAAATCCAAAGTTCTTTCTGGGTGATCTCAAACCTTTCGCCTGGTATACATCAAAAAAAGAATTTTCGGAATTTTTGGCATAGAAAGGATTTACTTGTTACTAATATAATACAACCCGCCTTTTCTTTAGATCTACTTGTTTAACTCCGATAGTATCATAAATTGAGTCAATGCATAGGAAATGAATGCATTTCCATACTATTAAGTTTAATGAAATACATATTACATAATTTAGATTATATCATTTTACTTATTTTACTGGATATTACGGAGCCTGTTCATGCACAGGATATGATCGAGTCTGATCATAGAAAATATTTTCTTCAAGCGAACCGGACTGACTATCCTCTGTAGAGGACTGGCGCCGTGGTTGGAACAAAGACACATCTAATTGTGAATTCAAATGTGGCAGATAAGATGAAGTCATATATCTGCATGGCCCAATTAATAGTTCAAGTCATACACTCCCATAATCCATTCTTTTTTCGGAGAGTTCCCTTCCACTATTCGTGTATGTCAAATAAAGAATCCAATTTATTTTGTTAAGTGGAAGGGAAATATCCAAATACATGTCTTATTCAAAAAAAAATAATGCATATTTGTAGCAATGAAATACTATTACTCCTCCCCCAAATGATTTATTACAAATATCTATGATTCATATTCTCTATAAAGGACCGGAAATTCCTTGCTTACGTATCATTGGAAAGTGCATTAACATGAATACGGCAGTAAGTAGAGGTAATACAAAAGTATGTAAACTATAAAAACGAGTCAAGGTAGATTGTCCCACACTAGTGCTGCCGCGCAATAACTCTACCACCGAGGATCCTATTACAGGAATAGCATCGGGTACACCTGTTACAATTTTGAATGCCCAATAACCAATTTGGTCCCAAGGTAAAGAATAACCAGTTACACCAAAGGATGCAGTCAATACACCCAAAATTACACCTGTAACCCAAGTCAATTCGCGAGGTTTTTTAAAACCACCAGTGAGATACACGCGAAATACGTGAAAGATCATCATTAATACCATCATACTTGCTGACCATCGATGAACTGATCGGATTAACCAACCAAAGTTAGCCTCAGTCATTATATATTGAACAGAAGCAAAAGCCTCCGTAACGGTTGGACGATAATAAAAAGTCATAGCAAAACCCGTCGCTACTTGGACTAAAAAACAAGTAAGTGTAATTCCTCCTAAATAATAAAATATATTTACATGAGGAGGGACATATTTACTAGTTATATCATCGACAATGGCCGGAATCTCAAGACGTTCTTCGAACCAATCATAGACTTTATTGAGATAGGTAAACCAAGGGACCCCCCCTTCGAACCGTATATGAAAATTTCATCTCGTACGGCTCAAACAAAAAGACTCAAATACTGGTTATTTGGAAAACAGATATGTGTAATAGAAAGTTTGAAACTTCTGAAGTTAATCCTATGATTCCAGTCTTTTTTGAAGATCCAAAAAATTGAAATCTACAAGATATTCTTATTGTTCCCACCTTCTAGTTTGTTTTAGTTTGTTTTTTTAGCTTTGACTAATTATTTAAGTTGGGCTTTAAAGTGGGCATTAGGTTAGAGTTAACCCTAATTTGTTACCTATATAAACATAACTGAGGGGGAATCCTAAGTCCATCATACCGCGGCTTTGAATATCCAGGATTTAATTCGACAATGGTAATAACTCCGAGGTAAACTTTCTTTCGCATTTCGGATGGCTGTGTAAACATTTCTTTGCTGATATTGATTCAGCTACGGGGTACGGTAAGTTCTGTCTTGACTTTGGTTCGATTACGATGCAGCTGTACTTATTTCAATTATTACTATGTTGTTTGCCTATTACATATTAAGCTCCCTGGTTTAATTTATTTTGATATAGTATGGTTGTTATTATTACACCATTCAAAAGTTTGCTACTATGTTATTATTAACACTGTGGTAACACCGGCGGTACCGCATCAAGGACCAGGAACTGAGCCCATGTAATGATGAAGGTGACTACATCAGGTGCCAATCTCCTCATTTCATTAATCTTTATTTTTTCTTTCAATAATAAATAACTTAATTAAATAAAAAACTAATTTAAAACTTTTAAAACATTTTTTAAACTTGATAAAAATCATTTTAGAACATTTTTTTATAACTTCAAATTAAATCCATTTTTAAAACTTAATTTTTTTTAAAGAAAACCTTTCTAAAACTTATCTAAGATATTTTTAATAATTCAATGTTAAGATTTAATGTAAAACAAAAAAAACTTAAGGAAAACCATTTTTTTTAGAGGCTTAATTCATCACCACTTTTTACCTAAAATTAAAACCAACTTGTAAATTAAACAAAAATAAATTAAAATTTTGTCTAAAAAACATTTTCTAAAACTTCAACTTAAACTTATTTTAAAACTTAAACTTAACCCTTATTTTTACAAATTTAAAATTGAGATTTAAAATTTTTTAACGTTAACACCCTTTTTTTACTTAGTAATTTAAAACCTCTTAAAAACTCAATTTCCAAACTTAAAATTTAACCTTAATTGGGAATTAAATTTATGTAATTAAAAGATTAATTTTTTTATTATAATTTAAAATTTAATGCTAACAAAGTGTAAATTAACTTAACATAATAAATAACGTAACTTAAAAATTAAGCTCCTTTTGTAAATTAAACCCGTTTTTGTAAATTAACCCTAAAACTTCTAACATAAGGATTAATATTTTAATGTCGCAGTTAGTCTTAAAACCTTTTCTAAAAAATTGCCTAACATTTCGCTTTTCAGTTTCGAATTGACCTTGCCCGTTCATTCTCATTTAACTGTTAATCTCGTTCCATTCATTATTTCCCAATTGTACAATTTGTAACAGTTTTTTTCATTTCCTTTTATGGTTGTAATTTATGCGAGTCTATCGTCGCATTATATTTCGTCATTTATTTTTGCATTTTTTCATGGGTGTAATTTATGCGAGGCCATGATCTTGGTTATTTTTATTTTTTGCATTTTGGGGATTTGTAATTTACGCGAGTGATCATCGCGATGCTTTCTTTACCGCTTTCATTATTTTCCGTACTTTATTATGTCGTATAATTATTTGCCATTTTGCACGTTCTTGCCGTTAATTTCCTCCTTCTAAAGGATTAGGTCTAGCTGTTTGACCGCCGAGTCAATAGCCTTACCCTTTGAACATTTCAAAACCCTATTTAGCCTAGGCGTCCCGCCGTGGACAAAAATGCCCTTTACCCTAGCATTAGGTCAAAGAGTCGCCGTACTCTGTTTAGGGTTTCCCGCCGTGGAATCCCTAATTTCAACCCTAAATTTTCAATTAACAAATTCAACATAGAAATAGGAGTTTCAAAGACTCCACGTAAGCGTGTCCTTAAGATACGTTTATTCCCTATTGAAACCTTGACCATAGTCAAGACGTTTCTAACCTCTCTTTCGAGGGGAACTATGATTACTCTGATTCCATTCCCTATCTAGGATACGTAGGCACAAGATGTGACGTCTTGCCGAGTAAACTTAGGACTAACCCTTAGGTCTTTAGGTCACTCTATCCTTTAGCAATATATTTCAAATAGATAATAAAATAAAAAAGCATACAATAAACAAAAGGTTCCTGTAGAGTACTACAGAAGTTTAGGGTGTTAGTACCTTCCCTAAGCTTAACCATCCCCTTACCTAGGTCTCTCCCCGCATTGTGTTTACGATGCAAAATTAGGTTTTTCCTCTTTTGACCTTTTCCTTTGGATAAATCAAAGAGCGGTTGTGAATCAAGAATTGTGATTCAAACTAATTAATAGTTTGATATCCTATTTCCACCGCAACAGAAAATGGCGACTTCACTGGGGACCCTCCTAATTTTTAAGGGTTGCCCCTATTTTGTTTATTGTATGATATTTCTATTTTATTTTATTATCTGTATATATTGTACCTTGCTTGGGGTATCTTTGTTGTGAGATAAGTCCTACACCCGGACTTGAGTGACATTATTATAGGAAGGTGATATATTCGACGAGGCTTATAGGGAGTGGAATCCCGACCAAGCTGACTTGAGAATCACCGCTCAGTTGAGACCCTTTCGAAAATGGTTCGGTTGAACGAGTAATCGTGAAAACTTTTACTATTGTCGATTGGAGTCTGTGATACTGGGGGCCGTAGTACCTTAACACCACTTTGGCCTTATCTAGGACGTAGTGCGGGAACTATGAGGGAGTAATCCCAAGATAGTTGCTACGCGATACTACACTCAAAAGAGGCTCTCTTGAGGATATTATTAACCACCGAGTCAATTGGGAAATTGATAATATCTGAAAGATGGACTGATGACTTTGGGCACCTCTTTAGAACCTTATTATGCAGGTACAACTACCCCATAGTACATACCTTTTGGGAAGGGTAGACCTTAACTCCATTCATTGTTCCTCTAACCTAGGACTTTGTTGTTTGTGTGTATTTGTGCATGGCATTCATAAAACATCATTCCTAGTTTCAAGGAATTCAACAGTACTTTGCGAATTCAAAAGTCCTATATTTCAAAGTTTAAAATTGTTTCCAACTTTCCTAAAAAAGAAATGTTTGCAATCGACCGTTGAAGTTCTTGAAACTATTGCATTACATTAGCATCATGTCTTGCATGGCATCTTTCCCCGGGTTTCTCATGTCCAGTTGTCTTTATCTTCCAGTGTTCCGTTGAGTCGTCAAGCTGATTCCTCGACACAGATATCAGACTAGAGCTAACTATAGACGCCAAATGTCAGAACAAGAGGAACATAATACGGAGGTCCGAATGGATATTGATGAGTTGAAAGCAGGCATGACCAGGCTTACCGAGATGCTTCAAGTGTTGATTGCCAGAGGAGAGCCACCTCAGAGGACTGTCATTCAGGAAGTTTCAAGTGTTGATCCACCTTTTGTTTCAGTGCCGCCCTCTAGTTGGCCTGAGTTTGGTTTACCTCCTAACTACTCTCCACCTGTTGCATCTGCTGCTATGATTGGTCAAGCTGTCAGACCGGTTTTTCAAGCTCCTATCCTTACCGAGGCCTAACCTATGGTCCACACGGTTAATCAGACTATCCAAGCTCCCGTTGAGAATCCTCCCTATGAGTACAATGTTGTCGATGTTCAAGAAGATTTTGTTGAGCTTGAGATCACCCGTGAACAGTTTCAGATCATAAACAAGAGACTCCAAGCTGTCGAGGGTACTGATTTCTTCAATGTTGATGCCAATAATATGTGCTTAGTTTCTGGTCTTGTTTTTCCTGCCAAGTTTAAGACTCCTGAGTTCGTGAAGTATCAAGGTCATTCATGTCCAAGAGTCCATCTAGTCATGTGCTTCCGAAAGATGGCAGCTTACACCAACAATCAGAAGTTGCTCATCCATTGCTTTCAGGATAGTTTGAGTGGTGCTTCTCTTAAATGATATATGAACTTAGAGCATAACAGTGTCCACTGCTTCCAAGATCTCGTCAACGCTTTTATGAAGCAATACAAATACAATTTGGATATTGCTCCCGATCGCCGTCAGCTTCAAAGTATGTCTCAGAAGGAAAAAGAGTCGTTCAAGGAGTATGCTCAGCGTTGGAGGGAGTTAGCTTCCCAAGTCAAACCCCCTATAGCAGAGAAGGAACTGACAGAAATATTCATGGATACTTTGTCTCCTTTCTATTGGGAAAAGATGATTGGGAGTGTCTCTTCAAGCTTTACAGATCTGGTGACTATTGGCCAAAGGTTAGAAGAAGGTTTGAAAAATGGGAAGGTATCCAAAGCTGCTGAATCTTCTAATGGTGCAAAGAAATCCTATGGGAATTTCCATAAGAGGAAGGACGAGCAGACCAATGCTGTCATTATTGAATCAAGAAAGCCTCGCCAGGGATCTCAACCTGTTGTTGCTCCGCAGCCACCCCCGAATCCTTAACGTCAAGTTATTAGACAAGACCAGTATCGAAATAGGAATCAATTTGATCCTATTCCCATGACTTACACAGAACTTTATCCTTACCTGGTTCAACGAGGGCTGATCACTATAAGGGCTTTACCACCTCCTCCTAATCCTCCTCCAGCTGGATTTAGGGCTGATTTCCAGTGCGTTTTTCATGAGGGTGCCTTAGGCCACGACTTGGAGCATTGTTTTGCACTGAAAGCCA